TAACAAATGATGCTAGTATAACTGTACGTCTGCATGCAAAAGAATGCAAATAGAGCCATGTACACCACCCTATACAACCTCAAGTCCAAGTAGATAGAAGATCCCAACACAAAACCAAACACACTGAACTTAAACGAAGACAAAGTGGGGAACAGCCTCGAACTCTTTGGCACAGGAGACAACTTCCTGAACAGAACACCAATAGCACAGGCTCTAAGAGCAACGATCAATAAATCGGACCTCATGAAACTGAGAAGCTTCTGTAAGGCAAAGGACACCATCAATAGGACAAAACGGCAGCTTACAGACTGGGAAAAGATTTTCACCAACTCCACATCTAACAAAGGGCTAATATGCAAAATATATAAAGTATTAAAAAAAAAAAAACTAAACATCAACAAACCAAATAATCTAATTTTTAAAAATGGGGTACAGATCTAAACAGAGAATTCTTGACGGAGGCATCTCAAGTGGCAAAGAAACACTTAAAGAAATGTTCAGCATCCTTAGCCATCAGGGAAATGCAAATCAATATGACTTTGAAATTCCATCTCACACCTGTTAGAATGGCTACGATCAAAAGAGGCAAGTGACAGCTCATGCTGGTGAGGATGAGGGGCAAGGGGAGCACTCCTCCATTGCTGCTGGGAGTGAAAAGTTGTACAGCCACTATGCAAATCAAGGTGGGGGTTCCTCAGAAATCGGGTATCAATCTACCTCAAGACTCAGCTGGACCACTCTTGGGCATATACTCAAAAGATGATCCACGATACCACAGGGAGACATTTGCTCAACTATGTTCATTGCAGCTCTATTCATAATAGCCAGAAATTGAAAACAATCTATATGTCCTTCAACAAACAATGGATAAAGAAAATGTGGTATTTTTTTACACAATGGAGTATTACTCAGCTGTTAAAAACAATGACATGATGAAATTTGCAGGCAAATAGATGAATCTAGAAACAAACAAACAAACAAAAAAACCCAAACATCTTAAGTGAGGTAACCCAGATCCAGAAAGACAAACATGTTATGTACTCATTTATGAGTGGACATTAGCTCAGGCTACCCTCCACAGACCCAGAGAGGCTACGTAGCAATGAGGGCTCAAGGGGGGATGCATGGATCTTCCTGGGAAGGGGAAACAGAATAGATTTTGCTGGTGCTGGTACTCTGGGTGTGGGTGGGGAAAGGAACAGAAGGTCCAGGGATTGGGGGATGAAAAGAGAGAGTACTGGGAGAAACAGCTGGAACGGGGTGGGGGTGGGGATTTGGGAGGTGATGTAGAAACCTAATGCAAACTCCCAGGAATCTACAAGAGTGACTCTGGCAAAGTCTCCTAGTAGTGAATGCAGGACTCCAAATGGCCATCTTCTACAAGACTTCCAACAGTGAGACCAGGACATCAAGCCAGCCATAAAACCTTTGACCTACAATATAACCTGCCTGAAAGGTGTGCTATGGTGGCACAGAACTTGTGAGTGGCCAACAACCAATGACTGGTCCAATTTGAGGCCCATTCCACAAGAGGGGAACCCATGCCTGACATGCCTGATGGCCAGGAACCAGAGGCTGGGCAACCCAGAGACTCAGGATAGAAGCAAATATGACTGACAAAAGAGAAACAAAAAAAGTTAATGACATAATTCCTAATGATATTTGCTATACTCCTAGATCGGTGTCTAGCTCAAGCATCATCAGAAGGCATCATGCAGCAAATGATGGGAGCAGATGCAGAGACCCACAGCCAAACACTAGGCAGAGCCATGGGAAGCCTGCAGGAGACAGGGAGAGGCTGAGAACACCAGGGAAAGATGCCCCCTAGAATCAGCTAAGTAGGGCTCATGGGGGCTCACAGAGAATGAAGAGACAAACATGGACCCTGTAAGAGTCTGAGCTAGGTCCTCTGTCTACACATTATGGTTGTGTAGCTTGGTGTTCTTGTGGGACCCGAATACTAGGAGTGGGGCATAACTCTGACACTTTTGCCTGTGCTTGGAACCCTTTTCCTCTTACTGGGTCGCCTCATCTAGTCTTGATAGGAGAGTTCATACCTAGCCTTATTCTAATTTGTTATGCTGTTTGGTTGATATCTCTGGGAGGGCTGCTCTTTTATTTTTCCCTGAAGGAAAATGGAGGAGTGGATTTGAGGGAGAGGGATAGGGGTTGCAGGGAGGTATGGATATAATGCATGTAAAGAATAAAAACAAAAAAATTAATCTAAAAGTTCTAAGGATTGACTAAATAGGGCTCCAAAGCCCCAGGAAATAGTGCCTACATATGATGGCACTGTATTTTATGCTTCCCTTCACTATATGAACCCAGCATAAAGAGTCTGAAAGTGTTCCAGAGATTAATCATTGTACAATCAATACCTAATTTTAAAAAGAATTATATCCTAAGACAAGGTGTAGAAATATGCCATTTTCGTTTGTATGGGAATTCTAGTTGACTCATGGTCTGAACGTCCAGAACATTACCCAACCCCTCCCTTCACCCCTTCCACAAAGCATCCATGAGTTAGATTGATTTTGCTCTAGGTTCATTCCTTGTTGTTTATGGCATGAAAGCTATCTGGTAAAGATCGAAACACTGACAAAGATTTAAGCGTTTAACATGCTATATATGCAAAAAGATTAAACATCAAATATAGATTCAAGTTAAATAGCTTAAAGTGCATTGTTTATCATGCCTTATTTTATTGCTAATCTCACATATATTGCACATCTAACAGGCAACAGGCCTCACACATCCGTAAATGGCCTACAAACCACGCTACTAAATGAGTAATATTTAAGCTCGGCATTCATAAAATAAGAAATGGAATTGCAGAGCTGACAGAGACTATAGACCTGTCAGAGAAATAAATGCCAAACCGTCTCTGTTCAGAAATGAGATGGCTTAAGCTGAGAGGGGTGGAATGGCCTAGTTGTTCAAGCCATAGAGTTAGAGTCAGACCCGTAGTTCTTCAACCAGAGATGGTGGGCTCTTTGGAAACAGTGTTCTTTGCCAGTCTAAGGAAGATGATGAAAGAGAATGCAGGAGAGAATGGAAAGTGTCCCCTCTCCGATGCCAGGAAGGTGAATGCCTCTGGTGCCAGATCAGTATTTAAGACACCATGTCACTATCTGACTTTAAAGATGCTCTCTCTTTCTCTCTCTCCTTAGTCTGTGCCAGAATTTCTAGTGCTCCATTAGGCTTCAATGCTTCCACTCCCTAGAGGACTCTAAGTCAGTGTGCTGCTGGGACAGGAACATGGGTGTTCTGTCTTGGGTACTTTGGCTTTACTTTGTAGCTTAACAATGTATTCTCTGAAACATCTCCAGGTTTCTCTGCTGTACTGCTCTCCAAGGGGATCAGGCTATCCACCTGGAGGAACTATAAATCCCCAGAAAAGGAAAGCAGGATTTACTTTTCAGTCTGCAGCCTGCTTTAAACCACTCTGGATGCTTATGATGGAAACAGCTAGGAACTTCTATGAAAAGAGGTGGAGAAAGGATGCGCTTTCAGAAAGAAGCACCAAATGGACCTAGAAAATACTGTCCGTAGGGGTAATGCAGTGCTAACATTACGTCTCTCCAACAACTTGCCCAAATGGAGCTACAAATAGACTCTTACATGTGCGTTTCAGAAACACAATGACTTCCTGACTCAGTGCTGGATGGGGGCTTTCAGAACATCATATGCAGCTGCAGAGCTGCTAGCTACAAAAGGGAACAATTATATTTTCACAAACTTATTTTGAAGATTTTTTTTTTCTTTTTGAGACAGTCTCAGTTGGCTTAGGCTAGCCTTGACCCTACTGTGTAGACAAAGCTTGTCTTGAATTTCTGATCATCTTGCCTACAGCTCCCAATTACCAAGGCTGCAGGAATGGAGCCACACTCGCCTTATGCATTGATGGGAATGGAAACTCAACTACCCGCACACTAGGCGAGCACTTGACTGAGCTATACCTTAGGCCAGATTTCCGTGATTCCTCATCTCTCTGGACTGTTGCATGCTGTAACGGGAGTGAAAGGGAGCTTGTTTCACTGAACTGATGCTCTAGCACAGATGTCTCTAACCCCATGAAAAGGGCGAGACCCTAGATGAAATATGTCAATGCCTGCTGCTCTGCCTAAGATGCTACTGAAGTACTCAAAGGTCTTAGAGGAGCTGAAGGTAGGCTTTGGCTGGGAGCAGCTGCTGGAACCAAACAGGCAGCAGGGTGGTGTGTGTGTGGGGTGTAGAACCATGAAGGCCAGTGTTGACTAACCCTCCAGCTAGTTACAAGCCAAGAGAAATGACACAGTAGGGAATTCCCACTACAGTAGGGAATTCATCTCCTATCTTACAATGGGGTGGAGGCCTTCTATACATCTAATAGCAAGAAAAGTCTGCCGGTATAATTCTGCACTAAAATATATGCTTACAGTTTCATGAGTTCTCCGGGTGGCACCTCTGTGGTTTTCACGCGTGTGTGTCGATGCATGTATGCCCCAGTGCGTTTGTGGAGATCAGAGGACAACCTTGGGCATCCCTGGACCATCTTCCACCATGCGTGAGACAGGGTCTCTTGCTCACCCCAACCTACACTAGAGAAACTGGTCAGTTTTTTTGGGGGGGGGTGGTTCTTCTGTCTCTGCCTCCCATCTGTTGGGAGCATGGGTCTTACGAAATGCTGCTGTGCTAAGTTTAGAGTGCCGGTCCTCATGACTTCCTATCAAGCACTCTATCCACTGAACCACCTCCCCAGCCCACAAAGCGTAAACTCTGAATTGGAACAAGGTACAAGATAAGCATTTGCCTGTGGATGCAGGGGCTACAGGCCATGTGACTTTCTGAACCACTTGTCTTTTTTTTTTACTTCAACACAGTCTTCCAAGGACAGAATGGGAGCATAAAGTAACAAATATTTCAGGTTAAGAATGTTTCTAGACTCTGAAATAAATACAGCATGACCAAGGTAAAAACACGATGCAGTATAAACCTCTTAAACGTCAAAAAGCAGAATGTAATGACTTGGATATTTTATTTTGACTTTACATGCGGTGTTAAAAACCCAAAGTACATATTATTTACACATCCACAATACAAGTTTACAAGATATCTATACACGTTAAAGTACTCTATAAAAACAGTATAGAGCCACTTCACTTTAGGGTTATTTTTTTTTTTTTTTATGCCGTACCATTAAAAAAGATACAATCTGTGTTTACCTTTGCACAAATGGATAAAGCATTTAAAATTAAATTAACAGAGACTAGAATCCATGTTAGAAATTTCAACATAAATACTGATAGAACTCACAGTACAGACTCTAAGGCAGCACAATGTTATAACATGTTATGGGGGTCACACAGAGTTACCACGCTGGGGTTAATATTGGTAAGGTAAATGCAAACCCGCTCTTGGTGGCAGATGCGTAGTGCTTACTGTTGGTTGGTTTAATTGATTAAACTGTAATATTTTAGTTGCAAAGCTGAAGTGGTTTGAAAACAGGGGTTTCAGCTTTTGAGCTTCCAAGAGATCGCGGGGAATCATTTTTTTTTTTTCCCATAGAAAAGAAAGTTCTTGAAGGAAAAGACCAAGTGCATCGGTACTCTACATTCTGTATAAAAAATTATCTGGTGGTTCGCACCCCATCCTCCCGCAAGCAACACATACCATAGTCATTGTCCCAAGGTCTCACTTGAACTTTACCTGGCTGGGTCAGGAGCCTTCCCTGGCTGTGGTACTTTCTAGAGTAGGCTGGGTCAATGACTGGGCGATGTGCATGGGTTAACCAAAGTTGGTGTTAGGCTACACACCATCAGCCATCAGTGGGCCCTGCCAAGCTACGGAGAAATGACCCTAGGCATGGTTTCCGCAGGTGCCACGTTCCCTGGGAACCCTCATCTCACTTCGCATTATCAGAAGAGCAGGGGTGGAATGTTTATCACGGCAAGGGCGGATGCTGCTTCTGATCCTGGGGGTGAAGGGGGGAGGGTTGTTCAACAAATCGCTCTAGGTTGCTGTATGACTGTGAGAAGTCTTCAGGTGCTGGCTGAAAAACATTTACAACTGGCACATGGGAAATGATGCGCTCTAGTGGAAATCCTCGACCTATTGCAGAACCTCTACCACTCTCGTGAATAAGGCACAAAATGCACAGATTCAGGTAAACTCACATGTGATACTTACAGTTCACTGTCATTGCCTGCGTGACTCGAGGGAAGAGTCCTCAGAGAGCAGGCCTAGACGGCACCACCACTGACAGCTGTTCAGACCTTCCCCTGCTAAGCCTATTGTAATTCCTCTTCTCTTTCTTTTGTCCTCTGTTGTGTTTTTCTCTTGCCTTGAGGGGGCGGGCAGGAAGGGTTGACAGAAGAAAATTTGTACTATGTGGGAAATTAAATAAAACAATACAGTCAAAAAATAAAAAAAAGAAAGAAAAAGAAAAACACTTGTGTGTCCAAGGTTAAATAGCGTGCCTCAGGCTTTGATTCACAGTGGACAGGTAAATTACTACTGAATACTGGTAGATACATCAAGGATATCTCTTAATTTCTCTAACTTCTTAAGCTGGCAAGGCTGGAACAGAAGTTCTGATGAGATAGCAGCACAAAGTTACTTATAACTCTTAAAATGTTCTGACATTGGGTACCACATAGGTTACGTTACTCAGTTGACGGTCAAAGAAGCCTTGACTATTCCTTTATTGGAGCTGAACACAATGGACTGGTGGGAGGAAGTTAGTTCTTTTTCAGTCATGCTTAGTGTAAACAACTCCATAGTATAAAAAGATGCAATGGGCACCTAAATAAATCCTAATGGGTACATCTCTCTCTCTCTCTCTCTCTCTCTCTCTCTCTCACACACACACACACACATACACACACATACACATCTCTTAACACAGTTTGTTGGTGGCAATAAAAAAAAAAAAGGAACAGTGCCACACATGAAAAAAACTGCTACAGTTTGGGTCAAAGATTGAATTTTTAGCAAACTCCTTGGTAATCTACAAGCTCGTTTTGTTCTGAGACATTCCCATCTTTCCATTTTGACATTTGTGCAAGAGGCAAGGTGAATGCATACATATTAAAATGTTCACATTTAATGGGAAGACCACAATAATGGCAGTCTAAATTGAACCCATTTTCAAGTATTTGTTCAGTCTTCTGAGTACTGTATCAACTCTTTACGCTGCTGAAGGGAACCCTTCCGGGCTACACACCCCTTCAGCTCCAAACAAAAGAAATGGAATGACCAGCACCTCCCTTTGATTCAGGCAAGCACACAGAAGCCTTGCTGGGGTAGCTCCATCTGCCAAGTTCTGATGTTACCAAAGTTACAGAGTTTCTTTGGCTACTTGTCTCTCCTAAAATACAAGCAGGTATCTTGTCTTAAGGTACCCTCACAGCTTCCTTTCAACAGCAGGGACAGGATAAAGCCACACGGGGATAGCACACTTGAGGCCCTAGTAAGTGTATTTGTTCAGTGGTCTGACGGATGTGGTCTGAGGAACAAAGGAAGGCTTTGGCGGCACGTCAGGTTTTAAGGATGGTGTCCTCTTTAGTCCCGTCCTCGGGAGGGTGCCGTTACTGGTGTAACTGCTCTGTCTGGAGAGGGAGGGCTGCAGATGGACACTCACTGGTGTCCCCTGAATATAGTCCACCTTCCCCCCTGTGGGGGTGGCCGTATATCCCCCACGGTTCATACTCGGCTGTCTGGATAATAAAACACCATTGGGTGAGTTTAAGTTTTTGGGCACAGCAGATATAGAGTGCCTCTGCGAGGAGTTTTTGTGATAACCCCTTTGTCTTTCCAGAGAAGTCATTGGGACCCCAGGAGTGGTGGGGACATCGACTCTCTTGGTTGGACTATTTCTGGGGAGTGTGGAGGGAGGGGAGTACAGAGATGCCTCCCGGTTGGGGACCTTGGGTGGGACCTCAGACATAGGGCCCACTGGGTCCAGCATGAGGGTCTGATGGGCCATATGGATTTCTCCCATGATGGCTTTGGGGTTACTGTTTGGGTCATTTAGATGCTTCAAGAGATCATTGAGGGTATTTCTGGAATCTACAGAACGCCGGTGCTCCCTCTTGCTGGACGACTTCATAAGAGGGTGATCCATGCTCTGAAGCTTCTTTTCGGCTTTGTGAGCATTGGAGTTTGAGAATGATGTGTTGTAGTCATGAGTGGCATTTGGAAGAACAATGGCACTGGGGATATGCCCGTGGCTTAACGGGGAGTGGGGTGGAGGACTAGAAGGAAAGAACTGGGGATGTTCTTTCCTTGAAGCACCATGGCCATGGGCCTTGTCAGAGTGGCTCTTCATGGCCTGCAGGGTCTTCTGGTGGAGTACGGGTGTGGATTCCGGTGTGGGGAGCGCAGCCAGCTCTGGAGGCTGGCCTCGATGGTCCATGACCATGGATTTGGTATCTGTGCTGGGGGGCAGCTCCTTCCGACTGGTCAGCAGGTTGCTGTAGAGTTTAGGAGAATCGATGTTCTGCTGATACTCCTTGACGGGACTGTCAAAGAGACCGTTGAGCTTGGCGAAGCTCCCGCTGGAGTCTGTGCACGACTGGGCCGATTCGGCATCTTTATGGATCTTCCTGTTCTTCCGGACAAACATGTCACGGTAGCAGTACACAGCCACTCCTGCAATGAATGCACCCAGCACAAAGGCTGCGAACACGCATGTGATGAGGACATTCATATGGACCATCTGGTTGGAGTCCCCTGACTGAACTTCCCACCGAACACCTGCAACAGACATTCAGGAACTCTGAGCGAAGTGCTTTAAAAAAATTAAATATAAAATAATGAAACAATACTACATTCAAACTTTCCAGCTTTTTCTAGCTCACAGGATCAAGCAGATCCCAGAATTTCAGTCTTTCCGCCCCCTGAAATCACAATAAAATCTCCAGAAACATATATGCTTGCTGCAAAAGTCAAGATATCCCTAATCTTTCATTAGTATATATTTTTCTCTCCTTTCCTCCAATCTCTCTTAAAGAAACAGTTGTTAGAGTTTCTATCTAAAGAGCAGAGTTAGAACATTTCAGAAAACATTTACCTTATGAGTCTCACCTAATTCCTAAACCAGGATTAAAGAGTTGCTGCTGGGGTTAAGGAAATGTCTGAATTAACAAAAACACACATCACAGTAAATATAGCTAGGCTAAAACAGTTGTGTTAACTAGGACAAAAACGTAACTGGTCACAAACTGAAAGCAAGAGCTTGGTCAGTGTTAAGTACACTTGTGCATTTGTTTTCACGTTCTGTTTTGAAATTTCATCTTGGGATGAAATATTCGTGAAGTATCTACTATGTAAGAAAACCGGACAATGTAAGAAAATAATCTATATATTAGTTTAAGAATATCATTAAAATTATCTGGAGGTATTTGAGAAATACTTAAATTAGACCTAGAAAGTGAAGAGTGAGTTAGTTTGTAATTATTGGAAATTTTACTGCAACCACAGACATCTAACAATAGATTAGAGAAATGTCAGATTAGGAGGTGCTCAGTCTGTTATATGTTATACCTTCGGCTATCCCAGAATAACTGAGTCAGAGGGATTGGGATGGGTCCCTGGAGCTAAGTTAGTACTAAGGTCCTTGAATATTAGTTGGTTTTAATCAGCTGTCAAGGTTGTGGAATTTAATGGCATTGTGAAAGACCAGGAGAGAAAAGAACAAAGAAATGGTATTATTGAAAAAAAAAAAATCAAAACAGAAATAATGATTATAAAATTGTTTGCAATGAAAATATGAAAAAAAATCAACAGAAGTAAATCATAAATGACAAGGCAGTGCCATAAGAACTGACTGGAAACCTGATACCATAGCTTATACACAAGGGAACTTTTGGTTTTTTTTCTAGAGTATTAAATCTAATAAGCAAATTGATCAGGCAGCTTTTTTGGCTTCATCTATTACAGACTGTAAGTAATTACGGGCAAGTACTATGTCCTGCTTTGCTGCTGTGGCATTCGAGTGACTCGTCACCCCATGTTTCCTTCCTGCATTACATCCGCAGTTGCAGCTAAGAAGGGGGCCGAGAAGCCTCCGACACAGACTAGTTGGTAACAGGATATTTGTCATCAGTAAGCGTTTGTTGTTTTTGATATTGTGAGGGTGACCCTCACAATTCTCTGGTACTCAGCGGGCTCTCAGCGGTCAGGCAGAAACCGACACAGATTAGACCGTCTGAGTGGCTGTTGCAGGAGCCATGTCTTGGGCAGGAATGCCCTCGAATGTAAACCACAGGAGAGCAGAGTCACCGCGGCCGGCCGGTGGGGCTGAAGGAAGGCATCTGCAGTTCTATTAAGTTTCACCTCTGAGAGCCAGGCTAGGGATCAGGTTTCCATGCAGTAAGAGATGAGGTGCCTGGCCAGGCCTTACCCTTTGGGATACCTGATATAGTATCAGTAAAATCAGAAGTGTTTGGGTCATCTTGAACTACAAATTTCCGGGAGCTCGTCAGTTTAGGTCTCCGGGTATCAATCACTTTAGATGTAATTTCTGGGCTACTTGCCAGAGTGGCCACAGAAGATGAGGGTACCTCCATGTCTGTGGTGGCAAACAGATGTCCATTAACACGGCTAGCGTCAAGAAGACTTTCCTGATTGCTTCCTCGCATTTTAAAGTCAAGTAAAGGTTCTGAAAAATCCTGTCTCAGGATTTTGTAAAAGCCCCTTCAGGGAAACTAGACCAAATCCTTTTCTTGCAAGAGAAGAATAAAAACTTATGATTGACAACGAAGATATATTATGCAGATTTCAAAAGTAAAAAACAAAACAAAACAAAACAAAAAAACCACTTAAACTTTCCTGCTGAAGCTTCCTCATGGAAATGTAACACAAGTCCCAACTCAGGCTGACTGCTCTTTCCAGCCAGCTCTTGGGGAGCATTTAATTTATCTGTAGCGTGTACTGTATGGAGGACTTCTGTGAATGGTTAGCCTCCCTTCACTGGAGAAGCTATAATGGAATCACATTTAGAAAATACCTGGTCAAGTCCAAGGAAACACTTGGCTCTGGACCCGATAAACCAGCTCTGCCTAAGAGGCCATTCTGTTTCTCCAGGGACCCCTGTCCATTTGTAGGTTTCTTGCTGCGCTGAGAGCTCCACAGCGCAGCACAAACCCTGCCGTGTTCTCTGAAATGCCTGGGGAGTCCCTTCTGTAGAGTTAGCAGTAACTCATGCACAAGCAATGGTATCTACGCACTGAATAACGATGTCGGGGTACATGACAGAGGTCTTCCTTTTCTCCCCCGAGGGATGAAACTGATGTGGACCCTAGAAGCACCAATTGAACCTTTTCTGTGTCTATTGACAGCTTAAACCTAGTAGACTGCCATGAACGCATAAGCAAATGCTTTCAGACACAGCTTAGGCTTGATCCGATAGTTACAGGAAGAGACTTCCAAACAAACACAGACAGATGTGCACGGAGGCCCCCCCACTGTACATCTTCGTACATCAAAATCCAGCTTCTTTCAACTGAAGCTTCTTTCACACCACTGAGAACACAACATTCAGAGATTCCTGGGGTTGCCACAAAACATTAAAAAAAAAATCTTTAAAACTTAGAAATACACATTTTTTTAAAAAATGCGTATTGTTCATTCCTTGTTCTTATGAAAGGTGGGGAGAGGAGGGGAAAATTATGCGGTTCTGTCATCCATGGGGTATAGATGGCCAGAGGGAGCATTCGCAAATCAAAGGGTTGAGAAGGAAGCTGGCGGCCGGCGTGCAGTTGAAATGCAGTTATATGTCAACCCATTTGACTTTTCTTAAGGATGTGCCTTGGTCAATGATGAACCATTAACATGCTACACACGGGTGGAGGGCTGAGTAAGAAAACATCTTTCAGGACCTTCAGAGGGTTATGAGTCAAAGCAGAAAAATGAAGGGCTGCCAAACTGCGCAAAAGGAGGGGAAGAGGGGCTGAAAATGCTGAACTGAAGGAAAGAAAAGACTGTTAATTCAAAAAAATTAAAAAAAACTAACCAGATGTTGGACCGCCAAATATTTTGTAATCTGGTGTAGTTGAAGTAGGCAAACTTTCTAAAGGGATTAAAGGAACAAGTAATCAGTGAAAAGTAACTGAAAGAAAGCAAAAAAGTTCATGAATTCCAAGTAATAGAAAAAAAGTCAAAAGAAAAGACTACAAACTAAAAGTCTACTGGTTACACTACCTTTCTGTAGATGGCTTTTTTTTTTTTTTTTTTACAAAAGCGCAAACAGTGAAGGAAAAGAAAAATTCAGAATCTTTTCTAACAGACCCCCACGACCGAACAGCTCGGCTTTTGCGAAGTTTAAGTTAAAATGCTATGTGATATGCGTCCCCAGTCACTACAAAGGCTGGCTGTAAAATAATGTCTGCGTGCAAATGTAGTCAAAGGAAGCAGCCCGAGGGAAGGGAGGTGTCTGTCTTACCGTGGCAGTCCCCTAGGTGGGCTGTGTTGCCGTACTCTGTGTCTTGCTCGTATCCTCCAGCGCTGTGGTTATGGAAAGCAAAGAAGTCTTCGGTTAACAGCCTTCATAGAGATACAAGGGGCCACCAGGACAGAGCCGAGAACATAGACTGGTTAGTGAGAGTAAGCAGAACGCACCGACGATTCAACACACTTGGCGAGGGAAGTACCTGTTAATTTAACTAGGGTATCTGAGGGAATGAAACTTTCTCCAGAATCTATTGCCCTAAGGGATGGCTGTGTCTAAATCTCATTCCCCTTAAAGTTTAACTGTTCTTTAAATTTTTTTTTTCCCATACCGGAAAAAGAAAAGAAGGAAAAGAAAAGCAGTATAACCGGAAGTTTTATTTGTTCACTTTTAGCTGCGGGTACTCGGGGAGAAAATAGCCACGTGGTCCAGCGTACTTACAGCATCCCAAGAGTCACTCTCTCGCAAACTCCCTGGCTCAACCAACCACAGTACGGGTCACGTGATGCAATGCAAGACCTGTAGAAAGCCAAACACATCATGATGCGGATGTTCTCATTAGCACAGCTACGCCACTGCAAGAAGAGCGAGAATGAAACGAGGAAAGAAGAGCTTACTTTTTACAGGACCCATAGCGCTCACAGCGGCTGAGGGGGATGCGGACGACGCAGCTAGAGAAGGCCACGTATAAAGCATGGTGATCTTTGTCCAACTGTAACGAGACGACCTTTCTGTCCTCCTCACTCTCTGCGCTGCACCTATTTCGTGGGTACATTTTGAAGACATACACTGAAGTCAAGCCTGCATCGACTGACTACACAGGAGGCATGATTTGGCAGCCAACCAAAACAAGGGCCTGATCTGAGAAATAATAATCCTGGGATACAGCTTTTTAAGCTGGACAAAAGGTCTTTAAAATTGCTTTCCTGGTTGAATGGGGTTACATCTGTGAAGACCGTGTTGGACTCTTGAAAACGAGGAGGAAGGTTTTCTGTGTGTAAATCCTCCCATGCCTCTGGGTGTCCCATGTGCCCTCTTGTCCTCACTTATTTCTTATGTGTTTTAACTGTCCTCACTATCTCAATAAAGTCTAAGTATATTCTCTGAGCGCAGGCTTACAACTAGGCGCGCCACATGCAGCATACCAAAATAGACCTGCAAGGTAAGATGGTGCTAAAATGTTCTCGTTTTCCACAGGTGAGAAAGAAGGGCTGACTTATTTTTAAACTCATCAGCTGTTCACCCTCCTTGCCCCAGTGGGCTTACGAAAACAAACGAGCCTGGAAGGTACTTCAGTAGAGGAGATAGACAATACGGGAAGAAATAAAACCCTGAGCAGAACCCGTAAGAAGTACGGCTAATTTAGAAGTCAGAAAGAAATGGCCAGACAAGATATGTACCAGTTATTCGTGAGCAGGACTGAAGAGAGTTCTCCTGAAACATACTTACTTGGCTTGGTTATAAGCTTCAATCTCTTCAAGCAACACACTGTCATTCAAAGAGAAAGGACTGGTCTTTGCCAAAACTTTAAGCACCACGCCAGCTTCGGAGCCAACAAAGATGACTGTGTAGTTCTGGTAGGGCCCTGCCAAATGATCCACTTCGATGGCCGTCAGCCTGTACCTAGCAGAGGAAAGAGGCGAGTCAGATCAGGAGGCCAGTGGCAGGAGAAATGGGTGGGAATGGAGGCCCTACAGTCTCACCTGACCCGTGTCTTTGTGAACCAGGGCTCATCAGCGATGGGGGGAACAGCAGCGTCCATCAGGGGGTGGGATTTGATGAAAGCCAGGGTCTCATCCGGAAAGTCGATGGAGGTTTTGTAAGCTTCCGCGAGGCCGTGCTTCGCACAACAGCCAGGCCTGAAATGAAAACAGTCATATTCTGTCATCGTCTCTCACAAACTGTACTTAAGAAGCAAGCACACATTCTGTAGAAAAGAGGCTGGGAGAGGAAGGAGTGACAGCAAAGCCAGAGGACGAATGTTATTTTCCAGAATTCCATGGGCTCTTCACAGCCACAGGCACAGGGAGGGCATAACAGGATAACATTTATTGGCTTTGTGGGGCTGCCTCAGAGGGATGGCCTGCTGGGCTGGAAGGTTGGATGACAGATACATGGGTTCAGTGTTCACAGAAGTTTTATTCCATATGAAAACCTCTTTTCTTTACCTTGGTTTTGGCACTTTGTCTTCAGGAACTGCCGTCCAAACAGAGTCTGGGGTTTTCTGTTCTTTGAACCGCCCTTTGAACACCTTCTCAATGTCGTCCATACTAAAGGCACAGACTGCGGAACCGGGAATGCTGAAAAGCGAGAAAACCGTGAGGAAGAGGCTGACAACGGAGGCCACGCACGATCCCGACAGGGAGCACGGAGCAACTGTGGGGGGACCAGGGTTCTGCTGGTTCCCACCTGTTGAGCTGCGTGGTGAAGACCCCAATCACGGTGGGGATGCCGTTGATTTGGATTATGTCTGTGATGGACTGCAGAACATCGAAGTAGAAAAAGGAATCTCCGGGGACAGAGCAGTTAAGTCGGGCCTTTAGGAAGGAAGTCCAGTGTTTCTCAAGGACCCGCTGTGAGCCACCCATATCGTTCTTACAAATTCGAGCCACGCGGGAATACACAGCCTGCCCAGAGACAAATACCAAGCAGTGAGATTATGAGCATGGAAGAGGAGCACAACAAAATGCCACTATTCCAGGGAGGGACAGAAACAAAAAAAACAAACGAAACAAAAGAAAATAGACGTCTGGTTCAGAACAAGCTGCCTTCCCCTGCACTTCCGCACAGTAAGAATGCAATGAAGAGTTTTCCCTGCGCTGCCTAACGTGCTTCCTGAGACCTGAGCTATCTATCTTCCTGGTTGAATGAAAACCATGACTGCACTTCTGTCTCTAACATTCTCTATTGCTTCTCAAATTATTAATAAAATGTGCAGTCCTTGAACGTGGTCATAGAGGAGTTTGCTGTACTTAAGGAGCACATGGGCTCTTACAGAAACACTCTAAGTTGAACGGGGGTTCCCATTTTCTATTCTGCCTTCGACACTGGAAATGTGAAAGAAGCCTCCACTTCCTATGGTGATAGAAATAAAAATATGAATGCTTCTAAAAGCCCTAGGAGGCAGCTCTTCCCACTCTGGGCATTGGGAGGTGTTTCCCAGCAGTCAGCGGCACCATCAGCAACCCAGCTCCCTTACTTGTCCTTATGTGCACTGACGTGAGTGCTCTGAAGCAAGACAGGAGAGCAGTGGCTGCTCTCCCAAAGTGGGTGGGATTCCACGCAGTTCAGGTCCATGGTGCACATCAAGCACATATACTTGCCTTGCCTAAGTTATTATGTTCCACGGCGATTTCTCTGAAGAAGAAATAGACATAGTTTCCATATTCTATGGCATGAAGAAAGTGTGGTTCTGAAGAAAATTGAAAACAAAACATTCTTAAAGGACGATTCAATTAGTGCAAGGTCTCAACTGCCAGCTATGTTGCGTAACTACACTTGGAGCAATGATTTCAAGGAGTCCCAATATGGGTGTGATCAAGCTTCAAGAGCCTGTGTCTCTAAAGTCAGCTAATGGACTGTTAAAAAAAAATGAAAGAAGAAAGAAAGAAAGAAAGAAAGAAAGAAAGAAAGAAAGAAAGAAAGAAAGAAAGAAAGAAAGAAAGAAAGGGAAAGAAAAAGAAAAAGGCCTAAAGGCCTACAGGGAACTGCACTACAGCAAAGGTCTCTGTTTCAGCAAATTTATTCATTAGCCTATTTAACTGGGGAAGAGAACCTCATATTGAGAGTTTTTAAAACCCTTGATTTTCAGAATTTAATGAAAATAAACTCTACAAATATAAATTCATCAGTTCTCATTCCTGAAGCTCCAAAATGGGTGAATGGGTGTGGGAGGGTAGTATTGTGGGTACAGAAGGGTTCTGCTGTAGGCATTTGGAGTTTGTCACTTCGACACACAAAAACGAGGTCTCTAGTTGTCTGGCTTTGCTTTGGCCATTTGCCTAACTGCCTGGATGAACTTATTCCAGTCTGCTCACTCCTGTCAGCGTCCTGTTCATAAGCAAGGCACCACAGTGATTAACCTAGATGAACAATTCAAAGTCATGCCCTGAGCTTCCTGGCGGCCTTGGCTGCTGCTCCCACTTAAGCCTTCCAACCATCCCCCCAAAACCCAAACGGCAGTGCCCCTCATAGGTACCTTTGATCCATTTGGAATCATACTTTATTGTGCGAAGGGCCGATCCATCGCCCATGCTTCTGTAAATGACGGCGTCGCTGGCTAGGAAATCAGCCACTGTGGCAGAATATAATTTCCCATCTGAAACCAAAGTTATAATTTGGTGAAATAACCATAATTACCTATGGTGCGTTAGCATGGCTACCCTCGGCCGTTTTCCACCTGTCACCATTAGCCGCGCAACAAAGGACACCTGCGCTCACCCTCGACCTCCAACTGGCTGTCCTAGGATATTACCTAATTTTACAGGTGAGGGATCTAAGCACCAAAAATTAAATAACGCCTTCAGGGTCAGTGGCTTAGTCCACAACACAGCCACGTGTGAGAATGCGTATTCCAGTCACCGAGACACTGCTGTGTTTTCACAGATCCTCAACAATTTGTTCATGGGCTTTATAACCTTGGAAATGCTCGTGTCAAAGTATCTCGCTAAGGCATAAGCTTTTTTTTCTTCCTTTCAATTCTTTTGCACCTTCAGTGTCATTAATCATTGATATTCAATACACGGCAGCTTCTTACCAGCAAAGAGGGCAACATTGGTTTGTCTGGCATCAAATGGGCATCGTGCCAGGCCGCTAATTTCTTCCCCATCATACTCTAAGGTACTCAACTGCAAGAGAATAATAATAATAAAAAAGAGCTTGGGTCACATCTGTTCAATGTACTTGTCTGAAGGCAATATTGTTTTAGTTACATTGAAATTTTATTCTAATTCTGGTTTTGTTTTTGTTTTTTGTTTTTGTATTCTCTTATAACATTAGAGATAAAACAAATCACTGGGTTACAGCAGAGAAGGTTCAACTCTAATAGCACACCAGTGAAGGAAAATATAGTTGAAGAAAAAAAATCATCATATCAAACATACTTACCCTATAGTACCTACACATCGGGTTGAAAGCATTGGTACCGCACACAAAAACCATCTCATCATTTCTTGGGACAAACACTTTGATGAAATTGTGACATTCATCCTAAGGGAAAATAATTACATGGTGATCAGACATCTCCTGTGCTGTCCACAGAGAAGAAATGCAGCAGGCACCTGTCCCCTTACTCACTTTATGTTTGCCTTTCATAGCACAGTTCTCTCGGTCCTGTTGTCTGGACCTCCATGTCAGCTTCTACATTAACCAAGTAAAATGAAAGTTTAGTTTTATCTGGATGCACTTTGGGTGAGGGGCGGGGCATTACTGAAGCTCGGGGGTGGGGGGAGTGAGAATACATTCGCCCAGGGTGGCGAGCTGCTCACCTTGCTTGGTATGACCTCTGTTTTGGGGATTTCATTTAAGTTCACTGTATAGACTTGATCCCTGTTGGAAACAAGGCAGACAAGGCACATCACGCGAGGGCATAAATGCTAGCCTGTTTCTTATTTCATCTTTACAGATCTGCTGTTACTGCGACTTGAAGATCATCTGGCTTTTCTGTGACTTGAACAGTCATCACAGTCCTTTTTCATTAGTGAGATGTTTTTGTGTATCACTGCAGTCAGGGCAAAGGCTGCCCTTCTCTCCATGCTTGGGGCAAACTGACTGGGCATTAGCATAGGCATATATCTGATATTTGCCTGAAAAATTCTAAGTTAGGAAAGAATAAAGAACGATTTTCCCCCTGCTGCTTTAAGACAGAAGAATGATGTGTGATTTCTGGATGTGCCTCTGAAGACTTCAAACTCGGTATCCTGTACCTGGTACCCAGCGTGCTCTTCATGGAGAGTATTTTTGGCTACTTGCAATTCTTGATCACAATCACATATTAGTTTTTCATGAACTAGACACATTAATGCAAGCACCACAAGAGAAAAGAATTTTAATCTAATAAACCAACGAAAGGAAAATTACCTGCCAGCAATATAAAGTGTGTCTCGAATTTTCAACATCAGCTGAAAGTCCAGCCTATGCTGCGATTCATTGCCTGAAGGGCGTCCTCTAAAAACCGGATATTGCCTTGAATCTGCAAGTAAAAAATGGGCTAAACCATCAGTCAGGATTACAGAGCTGAAGAATCAATAGATAGCATTGATTAGCTGTATATAGTACTTGTAGGAAGGGTTTTAACTAAATTCCTCTCTTCAGGTCTTGAATATGAATTAGTATGAGATGGAGAATGTCAGCAAATGGTCTTTTTCTTTTCTACTGAAAATATATAACCCCTATATATGGGCTGCTGCAGGATGGCACCCAGCAGAACTGGCTCTGTTTCTGCACAGCCTAGGGAGAGACTGCAGATGATTTAATGTGCAAAAACATTGTAGGGACAGATTAAAATTTGTCTCTGGTGCTGAAAATGAATACACACAGAGAAAAGACAAACAAAAGGCTTCCTTTGTAAATGAGGACATGGCTTTGGGTGACTTACAGTGGTAGTCAACAGTGTTAAGGGGCTCATCGTCTTCAGGGAAGCTGACCGCCCGTAACCTGGAGACCACAAGGAACAGCACGCAGAACCAGAGCAGAAAGAACCTCATGGTTGGCCAAGAAGAAATCTGAGCTCCCCCTCCTCACAAACACCACTTAGCTACCTGGAAGACACAAGCATTACGGAAAGACCTTTATGGTGTGGTGAATTTGGTTTCTTGTTTGTAGCCAGTTCAAGTTTTTGCCCAGCTCTTCCTACAGCTCCCTATTTATCAAGACTCTTGGCAGTGGTGGGCAGGTATCTCCAAGAACAGACAAAAGGCAGCACCAAGCCAGACCTCCCTGAGGCACCTGGTGAGCATACTGACGCTTTAGGTACGTTTGCCAGAATCTGAGGCAACTCTGTGTCATCGCAGCAAAATCACCAGAACCACAAACAGAAGTGTTGGCTGCTGACTTGGCAAGGAAGTAGGCAAAGTAGGGATCAGAATTTTAATTAAACTCCAATCTGCGTCCCTTCCCCCCAGTCCTGAAATACATAGATACAACATGTCTCCTGCTCCTCTCACGAAAGACCCAAACTGCTTGGAAAAGCCATAGCTGGTGACCTCGTCCTCAGCCACACCAACTGCACAGGTGCTGCCAAGGATCCAGCATCTAGCGTCGCCCAAGTCACAGTTCTATATTCAGAAATAGGTGTTTTGAAGACCAATGTGGAAAAAGGGGTCAGTGACCTTGCATTAGGGTAAAACAGGCTGAGAAGGAATATAACAATTTTGTGAAAACCAATCAGTAAAGTAGGAAGTGGCAGAGCAGGCCAGCTGGTACCTTGCCTCTAGGGACACCTACATTCTAACATAAAACCATCAGACACAAACCAATACCCTGAGTACACTGTCCTCCTAACTTTACTGGGATTTTTTCAGATGTAGGAGGCCTTAGGGACCATCAGGCCTAACACCTTCCTTTGCTAGATAGGAAAACTAAGGGTTAGCAACAAACAAACAAACAAACCAATACAAACAAAGAAAACAATTTACTCTGACTTTCACGGTGCCTTTAGGGAAAGGCTGGAGTCCAGATCAGTCAACTGAGTCCCTGGTCAAACTCTGCACCAAGCAAGAGTGAGGAAATAAATGGGTGTTTTTTCCTTCAAACAGATGGCATTACAAGGGGACTTTTTTTTTTGAGAGAAATGGCTATATTCATCATTTTTATTGAAGTTATGTTTCACAGATATTAAATCACACATTAAATATGTACAGTTACTGTCGATCAATACCCCAATAAAACTATAAACACAAAACAGAGTTAAAAGATCTGTAAATGTTAGCAACTCGTTTTAAAAATGAACTGGGTCAAAGTGAGAGGCACTATTGTGAGACTCCAATGGTGCTGCATTTCAGCAATGCCATCTTTTCACAACCAGAGATGTCACTCTCAGTGACTGTGCCAAATAATGGTGCACATAATAACCTCCCTCTGTATACCTAAGAACTGTGGGGAAAATTATATGTAGCCTTCTCAAATTCCAGAGAATACAATGATTCAATATTAAAAACGGGATTTGCACAGCACACACTACTTTCCTTTGAACTAAAATATAAGCCAAATATATATATGAGTAAAACTATAATTTTAAAAACAGGCCTAGTTTTATAGGGAGAGAATAACGTTTCAATAAAATTTTTGTTAATAGGTAATGAATCCAGCAGTTAAGTTAATAAATAAAAATGCTTCATAAAAAAGCATGGTGGAACAGAAATGATGGCTTGAGCTTTCAACTGGACAGAACTACACGATTGTTGGCTAATGGGCCCCAGAAATAGGTTTCAATATTTATAAGAATTGGTTTCCTTATTTATAAACCATGGAAAACGTGCTTCCTCTCATCACGGTAAAGACGAACTAATGCCTGCTGCACAGTAGATTCTGAGCTATGTTGGCACTGTGCATTGTCAGGTTGACATCCAGAGTCTGAGCAAGATCCGGTGACAAGATGTGTTAAAAACTGATGGCAATTTGTCCAGTATCTCTTAAGAATAAAAGGGTATTTAAAAATGCTAAAGGACCACGTTTAGAACAAATTTTACAGCTGATATCTACTTATCAAACCTTCTCTTAATAATCTTGCCAACCCAACCCATGACTCCATAAATTCGTCCTAGTATTTCTGCCTCCCATATTTTCAGTTGTAGCAACGTACCCTTATTCCCTTTGCCCACATCTCTTGGAGCAGCCTCTCTGTCTTGTTGGTAATGCTTTCTGTTTGTTCAGACCCCAGACAGTTCTAGCAGCCTAAAAAGACTAATGTGCTCTAAGCACCAAGTTTCGCTGTGGCTCCGGTCCCACACTGCATCTTCCGGATGGAAAGTCACTTGGCTCTTTCTGCCCAGAGTCATGAGAAAGGATCTCAAACACTCATTGCTCCTAAAGCAATGTGGAAACACGTGCATAGAAACAGAAAGTTCTGAGAGGCTTTATTCCACGGCTCACATCAGCTAGGCAGCATCTCTGTGTCCCAGCGCCGGAAGCAGCTCTCATCCGCAAGAAACCTAAGCCAGGTCATGCTGACTCACAGTTAGCCCCAAGCTATAGCTGAACCGTGAAGTCTTCTAGCACACCATCTGATACACAGAACGCCTCCCCCATACCTTGCCTGTAGCCAGCCAAATCCTTCACAAATTAATCCCATCACCCATTGCTTTCGGTCCATGAAGAAAGCTTCCTTAAAAAAAAAATATGCAGTTGATGCTATACATGGAAGTATTTGTTGTTATACATATAGAAAAGCAGGGCTAAGGGGGTTTGGTGTGTGTGTGTGTGTGTGTGTGTGTGTGTGTGTGTGTGTGTGTGTATGTGTGTGCGCGCATGCACACGGAAGCAGCTCGAAATCCATGAAAGAAATGTACAAAATAGAGGGATGATCTGCATAGAAATTCTTCAGGTTACTGAAGTTTTTGAGACTTAGTGTCACTATGTATCCCAGGCTGGCTTCACATTTCCACCTCCTAAGTGCTGGAATTAGAGATCTGTTACACCATGCCTGGCTTCCTTAAGGAAGAGCTGAAGGATTCTAGGGCTCAATGAAATCAGGACACTAGTCAGGTGATGCTAGAAAGCTGGGAGTCACAGAAAACGTTGGAAAGGATACCAACTGAAAGATGTAAAAAGCTGAAATTTGTCTGTGACATTTACTCCCTGGGCCAGGACTTCAGTTGACTCAGATTATCAAATGTAAAATAGGAGTGATTGTCTTTACTATTTCACTGGCCCTTCATAGAAGACATCTAACTCAACCTGATGGGCAGCAAAAGTTCTAGCTTTTTAGAAAGCATTACAATTTACTGCTCCATCTTATTAGGAAAACGTAAAGGCAATCCCCCTTCTGTTAGGTTGAACCATCTGCAAAACTCGAAGTTTTGCCATCACCACAATGATGGGGTTTTCCTGCAGGGTAAGGTCCAGTTTCCTATATGCAGATGCCTTCACTGAGGATCAGTTTCCCCAGTTTAATGAAAGGGCATCATCTGTAGACTACTTTGTCCAGTCAGAGAGCAGGGATACAGAAACATGCATATTCTAATATATGCTAATATATTCCAACAACACGCTAATTCTTAAGGTCTATGCAAGTGAGAATACAACTAGAAAGAAAAAGAGTATCTTTGGTGGTCTGAAGGGGAACATATATGAAAGATTTCCACCAAGAAACATCAAAAGGTCATCATAGCCCCCAAAAGCTGCATCAAAGGAGAGGAGAATACAGGAGACCACAGCAACAAAGAATGAAACACAACTTTCAACAATCTGCCCTCCAGACTGAAGGCTGTAGAGTTCTCCCATCCTACTGTTTTCAAGAAAGGATAGGAGATGCTGTGGTAGTCTCTTCTGAGATTCAAACATCCAGCCCTCCAGGTGAACTCCTTAAACAGCGGGGCAAACAACCACAACCACACAGCTTCCAGACCCCCCCCCCCCCCCCCCAGCAGTCCCCTCCCTGCCCGAGGGTGCAGAGCCCAGCAAGGAAGGCCGAAAGAAGAGCTGCACGGAAGACTCTCAGACAAGAAGAGCCACCAGGAAGAGGTTTAGCTGGACTGTGGCACCTGGAAAGGCCACTCTCCCATCTGCTGAGCTGCCTGCAGGCTGTGCCGTGTGCTCCAGGCTCCCAGCTTCTGTGAGCTGTCGCCCAGCACATGTCTTTGAGTCATGTGTTCTCCTGTAAGTAATGCCTCACCCATATTTCTATAAATACTGACAATGCAATTCATTGGTTCACCGAGTTGGACTTTTGGGGTAACCATACTTTGGTCTTTGGTATATTGTGGGTTTTCTATTTGGGGTGAGAAGTATGCTTCATCTCCCCAGGAAAAATTTTGTCACCCAATAGATAATTTCTTTCTTTCTACTTTTTTTTGGGGGGGAGGGTAGGGGTGGGGTTCGGGACAGGCTTTCTCTGTGTAGCCCTGGCTGTCCAGGACAGCTTTGTAAACCAGGCTGGCCCCGAACTCAGAGATCCGCCTGCCTCTGCCTCCCTGAGTGATGGGATTACAGGCCACCGTGCCCAGCTCCCAGCAATGTCAATGAAGAGAAAAGTAACATCACCCAGTCACGCAGAAATAACTTTTTTTTTTTTTTGTATCAGTAGTGGATATCTGTCATACTTCATTAAACCTCTCATTTTTCCCCCATGAGCATTTACAATGAAATTCAAAACATGTAGTCATTGCTGCCCATAGTGATAATGTATTTAGTTAAGATTGTTGGACTATCTCCAAAGCTAAAATTTGCTAAAATTTTTCAAATGTGTTTCAAATACTGATCAACCCAGGCTCATGAGGACTTGGTACATATGTGGGACTGTCTACTCCCAGCGATTGTCATTTTATTTTTATTATTTTTTAATTGAAATTTTATTTTATTTTTAATTTCACTTTATTTACTTTGTATTTGCCCTCTAGTTCCCTCCCTCCTCCCCTCCCAACCCCTCCCTTCCTCCCCCTTCTCCACTCATGTCCCTCCCCAAGTCCACTGGTAGGGGAGGTCTTCTTTTTCTTCCTTCTGATCCAAGTCTGTTAGGTCTCATCAGGCAGGAGTGGCTGCATTGTCTTCCTCTGTGGCCTGGTAAGGCTGCTCCCCTCTCAGGGGAAGGTGATCAAAGAGC